ATTTTCAAAATTATTACATGTATTTCCCGACCAGATGCTGCCGCCTTGTTTTTGATTTATCCTTCAGCTTACCAATACCCGGAGGATTTTTATTATCCTTGGTAACCTCCGGCGCGCGACGATCCCATCCAATTTGGTATCGAACCAACATCACGTTGATTCTGGTGGGAGAGTAGTGTAGTGGCATTGGACCATAACCACACAATCTTCAAAGCTGAGCATAAGACTACTCAGAAAATAGATATTCAATATTTAACACGGAGAAATACCTTACAATGGATAAGGCGCGGAGAATGAATTGAATGGACTGGAGTTGATCGAGTGGCATGGCTCGGCCATGCAGGCGTGGTCTCTATTCATATTAAATATATTGTTCTTTCTCTAACCTAACCTTGTTCTTCATCGTGTATTGGTAATTGATACGATACAGTGAGTTGGCGTAGTCGATGGTGTGACTTCCACGTAAGATCTTATAGATTAGGAAGTTATATCATGACGAATCTACAAATTTAGGATTAGGTCTATTATTAGAGCAGTACTAATATCATAGTAGACCATAGTTCTACATTGGTGAGCCCAACTAAAGAAACGCAACCCATTACTGTTAATCCTTATTTCCACCTTAACCTTCTCAATCGGTTTTTATTTTTGTAAACCCAGTATTCGTATAGTCCTTTGATTAATGGTCACATATATTATCGTAATGTTATATCTCTTAGTTCACGTAACTTACTAGCTCAATCGATAATAAAATTTGATCATCTATATCAACTAATTAGCTTTGATGGTTCGTTAACAAGCTTTAATAGCATTTACATGCTTCAGCAACATAGACTTGTTTAAACATCAAGCTCTAGCAAATATGACCTGTAAATAGCGTAAGTATACATTGACTAACAATCCAGTCAAGGATTGAATAGTTATCTGGATCTAATTCCCAGTGTTCCTTCACCTAACACCTCATCCTGTTTTAAACTACGCACTATCCTGTAATATCTTTTCTTCTGACCACTGCCTGCCTACTTTCATATTCTCGAGTTCCATTGCCAAACAACAAGGATGACACTTCTCCAAAAACATACGGTGAGTTTCATCTATAGGTTTTCTGCAATCATAAGTTCATTTTAGATGGCTCGTACAATAACAACCACACAATTAACTGAATTCATTCGATTGTTCTGATCCGAGCGAGTGGCAGAAACGTCAACACCATCAAGCACCCTGGAATTAATTGCCATACTGCATGTTTTATTCTGGATGCTTTTGGATCATTACTACTCACGAATGGGGTTATATATGTCGTCCACTAAATAATCTAATTTTCAAAAATAATCCAGGCGAGTTCAACTATTTTACTTAATGATTTTTTTTTTACTTAACATGTATATGTTTTCTGGTTCCTTTTGCTATATATTTGTAAGTGTCCCTAGGCTAAATGCAGTAACTTCTTATGGAATGTTTATAACGCGTCATATTCCTGCCTGAAGCTTCACAAGCAGTCTAAACTTTAAAATTATTTTCTGGTCATGTTCATTATTTTTAAATTTTTATATACGTCAACAACCTGCTTGTTAACCTGGTCCGTACATACGTAACACTATATCTTCATGTCTTCTAAATTTAGAAATCATCTGAATCGCTTTTAACATTTATCAATAAACCCATCATAGTCGTTGTTGCTAATCGTATTTGGCTTTATGGATTGGTTTATCATATTAGCAGCCTAAAATGCGAACATAGTTTAGATAATAAGATTAAAAATTTAGGTACTATCAACTGAACTAGTAAAATAACTAAATCCCTAGGTAGCTGTTGGCTAAACAAACGTTTAAAATCAAAATTCCGTAGCCTACTAGAATTAACACTAAACGAATCTTTCTGAATTAAAATTTATAATTAAATTAGGCGTCTCGGATTCTTTGACGTTACAAATTTCTGGCAATCTCGAATCACCTAAAGCAACATTACCTATTTTTCCACTGACTAATCCTCAATCAACACTATAACTAGTTAAATTTAATAGTTTCAGGATATCGTCATAAAGCATTGTCATGACTTGACAATCACGTAATATGATTGATAAAATTAATGAAACTATTAACAAAATCGGTCAGCAAATTGACTTACAATTATCACTAGTGTTGTTTTTCTTTTATCTTCATTCACCACAGATGATTACAGTATGTTTCTCTATCAGTTGCTTATTCAGTAAATATCTCAAAACCTTGTCAGTCTAATTGATGGTTTAGCGACACAATCATGCATGCAAATAATCAGTATAAGCAGTCGAGCAAACCTCCTGTAAACTGAAAACATCAATGTCGAATTTACCCCAACACTGACTAAGGTTCAAGCCATTACCATAGACATGAGTTGGGAGTGTACTCCCCCTGGTTACAACTTATGTTCTCCCTGTTAATCACATGAGCATCACTCAATACTAATCATCTTGTAAAAACTTATTTAGCTAAATACATCTTGCAGCACCACATCACTTCGTAATATGACAGGCCTAACTGATTTTAATAACCTATAACCACTATATCTCAATTAAATCGTATTCCGCCTTATGATAAACTGCATACTTGCATACTTGTATGCCCAATCAGCCAGCAAGTATAAATATAAATAAATAGTCTGCAGATCAGAACATTGAGTCCAGAGCATGTCTCTTACGAATACACTCATGTTTAACGATTTGTTCCTAGCTATCTGTCCAAAATTCATATAATTATCACTCATGTATTTAAATTTTATTTTGATAACCATTCATGTGTATTAGTAGTATTACTAAATTCTATCACGGTCAAGTAAAAATAAGGTTGAGAAAATCTCCCCGTAACTTAATAAACCGTATCAAACTAACTGGAACACTAGTTGGAATTCTTCTCCACGGTATACTTTTGTTCCTTCAGTTAGCCTACTAATACAGATGCAATTGGAATTCAACTCATATGGACAACTTACCGGCATAATCGTTATTTGATTTCATAATTTAAACCAAAGCTAATACCAATATTAACATTTCTACAATATTCATCACTTTAATATTTCTAAACACAAAATACTTACTACCTATACGTTAAGTTATTAACCAACGGCTATTAGCACGCATCGTTTTATTATTATTATTGTTATGCCATTCTTTATAGTTAAAATAATCTTCACCCAAATTTTCATTTCAAGCGTTTTAAGCATGAAGGTAGATATTTTCAAAATTATTACATGTATTTCCCGACCAGATGCTGCCGCCTTGTTTTTGATTTATCCTTCAGCTTACCAATACCCGGAGGATTTTTATTATCCTTGGTAACCTCCGGCGCGCGACGATCCCATCCAATTTGGTATCGAACCAACATCACGTTGATTCTGGTGGGAGAGTAGTGTAGTGGCATTGGACCATAACCACACAATCTTCAAAGCTGAGCATAAGACTACTCAGAAAATAGATATTCAATATTTAACACGGAGAAATACCTTACAATGGATAAGGCGCGGAGAATGAATTGAATGGACTGGAGTTGATCGAGTGGCATGGCTCGGCCATGCAGGCGTGGTCTCTATTCATATTAAATATATTGTTCTTTCTCTAACCTAACCTTGTTCTTCATCGTGTATTGGTAATTGATACGATACAGTGAGTTGGCGTAGTCGATGGTGTGACTTCCACGTAAGATCTTATAGATTAGGAAGTTATATCATGACGAATCTACAAATTTAGGATTAGGTCTATTATTAGAGCAGTACTAATATCATAGTAGACCATAGTTCTACACTTTCTTTTGACATAATTCAAAAGGTTGAAATATTGAAAACTCTTTATGATATTTAAAAATGGAGCCAGTGGCTGTGATGTAATACGCAATCTAGAACTTCTCACATCTATCAAATACACACTGTCGTCTCTTCAACATATAGAGCACTAGGTCGTCGTCCAACGGCATCTATGTCAAAAATTGATCACTTCAACAATGTTTCACGAATTTCATCTATTTTGAATTAGAAAACTGTCTGACATCTGGCGTGATTGGGCTTCATGCGTGACGGCTTCCCATCAGATTTACAAGTTTCACACACTGAAGTTAGTCACCAGTGAGAACATGGTTATTATCAGTACAGTGTCTCGGATGTGGAGCCGTGCATTTTTACGGATGAGCAGTTCTGTACTTGGTGCCTCCAGCTACTTAACGGTGGTCTAGACTACATCCATTCGCGATCTCAGTTGTAAGAAAGTCATTAGTTTGAGTGCCAAACGGATGTCTTCAACTGATTCGGGTTAATAGTTATGTCATATCGACACCAGATGGAAGTTTGAGATAGTTCAGAATTGTGGGTGTGCACTGGTTACCGTGATAATAATAATAATAATTGAACAGTTTAGTCAGTTTAGTTGAAACACCCATGTGTGCGTTAAGAATCCTCTGCCTATTTCATATTCAGCACTTCTCATTGCAATACCATGTGTAACTGTACAAATTGTTATTTGACATTGCTCAAACATACATTTAAGTCTAATTAGTCATGCACGGTATAGCGGCGAATAAATCCCCAAAATCAATAGCCCTGTAAGATTTCGTTATTTGATGATGACCACGTTAGTTTTATTGCGATCACCTTGCTGAAGGCGCTGTCTCACGTATCCGCACAAGATCACGAGTGTGTACGCTGTGATCAACTTCTACTACCACGGCTAGTCAGCTCAGATCAGTCATTTCTTGACATGTCGATAGTCGGTCAAATACATATTTCAACCTCTTTGCTTCTATCTTCTGATTTCACAGTGTTGGCACGTTTCAATTATCGAATCTGTTACTGGTTAATGTGTTGTCAAACTTCAAATACTTGTGTCACCTTAAAAGTTCAAAGTGTCTGAAACCTTTTCCACTTGATCCTAAACCAATTCCATGTCAATTGATAAACTCAGTCAACTGAATTGCCACACGTCTCACTTACTACCGGTTTTCTTTAATTATAGATAACGCAAATGGAAAATTACACAATTGCAAACAAAAGACCAAATGATGAGTATATTCTACTGCGTTAATGTCAGAAATTCTCAATCAAAATAAGAAAATATTTCTAAAATTCATTATTCAGCTTCACGATCACCATTTCAATTGCTTTTTAGTATGAGTGTCGCTATGGTTTCAATTTGTATACTTTAATGTAGTATATTTCGATTGAACCTGCACCATATTCCTTCGTCGACCCATTAATGTGTGTATACGCTTGAATGCCGAATCGATATACTTGCTTTAAAACGGAATGTTTTGAATTAGAGCGCTGTGTTTCCCGAAAGTTTTGTTTCAATTTATTAAATGGTAATTGTATTTGTTGTCGTCCTTCAGTCGTCTATTAGAATTTCATATAAAACAAATTGAATTATTTTACAAAAGTTGATATCGAATTACCGTGAAATTCGACTCGAATGAGTCACAATGTAGTGTATTTGAACAGTTAGCATCGAAGATCAACTTAAAAGTAGAATTTAGACCTCGTCGATGTAGATCAATTTCCACACCGTCATATAATGGCAAAACACGAATATAATGTATTTTGTGGACACCTGCAAAGGTCGGTCCGTTTGCTTGGTGATTGAGTAAATAGAAGAATATTGCTGACTGGTAATTCTAAACATGATGTCAATTAAATTATATCCATAAATAAAATTTACCTGTCCATTAAGTGGTACGAGTGTGGCCTTCGATCGTCCTCCATTTTCAACATTATCTGAATGCTCAACCCAATCCGCAAATACTGTTTTGTTTTCAGGATCAGTAAAGTTGAACAGAGTTTTGTTGACCAAATCACGGCGCTGTATGATGATTGTCTCTAATGAATGTTTTTCGAAAGCGTTGTAAGCGTTCATCAGTGGTGTTGCAAATATCAAAACAACAACAGTGAGAATTGTAGTCATTATTCTGAGGTGAACCAGCTTACAATTAATATGATATATTATCTGTAATGTAAAATGGATTTTCAATTAAAGTTCACTTAAATGGTGTTATCAGTATAGTGCGAGATTGTTGCGCAATATTGTGTACGAAGCATTCATCCGAAATACGGCACAGATGGTCACGAATGCATTGTGGAAACCAAACAAAATATCAAATACCGCCACCTGATCCATCAGTATTTAGACGAATCTAAACAATGACTGTCTATTTCAGTAAGAGTACTGCGATTTTAATAGTTATGGTGTGACTAACCAATCTATATGTTTTAATGTGGCTATTTCTTCATTGTCTATACTGACTACTCCGATAGTGACCATCAGCGATATGAGGTCTAGCATTTTTTGAAGACCACATTTGAGCTGGGAATAAAACAACTTATTTGGTGAACAAAAGCAAGATATGATGCAGGGCGAACACGTCTGCACAACGTTTGTGATATCCAACTGTTTCTACTACCGACAAATTATATATCAGTGTGAATTCCTGTTTAAGATGTCAACTTCAAAATGCTAATCAAACACTAATCGAATACGGAAACTTGAATTAACTTACATATTGATTAGAAAAGTTTGCCACTTCAACCAACTACTTGAACGATCGCTTTTATATTTTTACTTCACAACGAAATTGTGAGTTTTAACCAATCATGATATCATAAATACGATCACACTCATGATGGCTATTTTTGAGTGGAATAGAAAGATCAGCCGATTACATACAGTGGACGTGTGACACAATGATGCGTGACAAAATTGCGGAATTATATTGAAATTCATTTAACAAAACTAACATGTGATTACTAGTCATTACATTACAGACTGATTTTACTCAAATGTAGACTGAATAGGATAAAGCATTTGTCGGATGTTTTATGCAGTGATGGCACTCATCAGAGATGTGCATCAAAAATGTCACAGATTGTTTTAAATGTGACTGTCACATTTTGTGTGAAGCGCTCAAAGTTAGTATTTTCAGTAGTATCTCTTACAATTATCAACTGTTGATGGTCTTCCTTTATAGATTGATTGAACACCTGGTTGTTGGTAATAGATTTTCTAATTTGCTTGAACACTTCTTATTTCCGTTTGTTGTCTTCCATCGTTAGATTAATACAAATTTAGTGGTTTTCTATCTGACTCCAATTAGATCGGACAAATGATTGCTGTCGAAATACATATCTTGAATATTATCATATATGATCGCAGACTTAACTCGCGTTTATATATTTCATACATACATATGTTGATTAGAACAGACAATCGTGGAAATGGAGAAATGTCAGTGAAAAGAAAATAGTGCGCGATGTAGAAGGCATGTAAGCCAACTCAATGTGGCCAAACGTGATTTGATGTTTATAGTCGGGAAAAAAGAGGTTACAGACACGCAATGAATGGGGCTTAACATATCAATGAACCCTACACAGCTTTCTTGATATTCAGTTTACGTTTCTGATGTCACTTGTGGATTGTACTAGACGAAATGCTCCTCGAAAGCGCCTTCCTACAGTTCAAGATATCTGTAGATGTTAATAATTGGCATCCTGCCATCTTCATAGATTGTTCTATTCATACCATATGTCTTGTCTCCAGTGATTCGGTTGAGCTCAAAGAGCTTCTGGCAGCTACGAGAAACGGCCCTTGTTTCCAAATCGTAAGCACGTTCTCACAATCAGGCTTCTCTGTTCTTACACAAGCTTTGACCAGTTGCATCATACAATCGTCTCAGTTCAAAATCGAACTCACGGTCATTCTGAGTAGACCGACTTGATAAGACAAGGTGTGAGAAGCCTGCAGAAAATCATTGCTCATAATAGAGACGTCTCTACTGGCCGCAAGGAAGTTTACTCGCCATTTATGTAGTGTCATGCAAATGCAGCCAGTGCTTATTCATGGTTTTTGATGAACTGGTAGCTAGCCTTGGACTCATTTCTGTTTGGTATTTAGTTGAAACCCAAGGTGCCTCAATTTGATGACAACAATCCATTTATGACAATGATATCATGATGAGTAAACCTTAGGTAACATCAGCGCTAACAAGAGCGTGATCAGTGTCAAGATGTGTACTCCAAAATGATTGGTCGTTTAGTAAATAGTGGTACCTCAACACGTATTTATTATTACTATTATAAGCTTTATCCAATATTATTGTTGTGAACAGGGAAATAAGAAGCCCAGACAAACTACGATAGCCATTTCTTGGGACGTTATCTCATTTTATCCAAACCTTGTAAAACACTTATATTTATTTTCGTTCCTATTTTATTCTACAGAACATGAGCTTTCGTTCGATGTATCATTCATTGCCATACCACTTTTCATTCCGAAACTATAGTAATTAAAGCAAAATATTTTGCACCTTATTTTCTACCGTAATTCCCAAATTTGGATATAATGGTATTTTTCCAAATTATTGTACGTTGTGGTCATGATATTCCCCTACTTATTCATGTACCTTTTTGCACTTATCCAAATCCAGAATTCAGAGATTTCAGAGTGTTCCAACTGTCTTGTCTTCTCTCACTCGCGTGCTTGTCAACCAATCAGGTTCTAGAATGGTCTTTTCTCGAACTCTCGCGTACTAGACTCAAGGTTAAACTGCACAGCTTATTACGCCAAGGTCATAATCCAGACTAGACAGATCAAGATCAAGTCATAACAAAGTATCGACGGGGTAAAAGCGATTCAAGGTCATAACAATTATATTTTTGTTACAATATTGAATTCTCAGCACAAAGTATTTCAACAACTTTCCGTTTCTTACTTCTTGGTCGACCCTGACGATAAATATTGAGTGGTTGCCAGTAATATGTTAGCAGTCCAGTAAATGAACATCTCAATAATGTATATTCTTTTTGCTGCATATTGCCAGCGATCACATTATCTCTTATTTGGCCTTGTGTAACTTTGACAACGAAAAGTTGTACACTTATCTGAAATGCACCAGGATAGCTTATTCGATCAACAGACATAATGATATATCAAAACAAACAAAAATAGATAACTTGTTGAAATATCTAGATGGCAGGAACAGATAATATGGAACAGCTTTACGATACAACGAAGAAACTATCAGGGAAATACAGTAAATTAGAGAGACCGGTCAAAGACAAAGAAGGCAAGACAATCATTGAAATTCAACAACAGCGGAACAGATGGGTAGAACACTTCGAGGAACTCCTGAATAGGCCGGCACCAATGAATCCACCGGACATCGGAGCAGCACACATAGAACTTCCCATGGAAATGAACAGGCCATTTTTGTATTATCATGCAAATGCAGTCAGTGCTCATCTGTGGTTTTCGGTGAACTGATAGCTAGCCTTGAACTCATATCTGTTTGGTATTCAGTTGAAACCGCCAGTCTTGTGAATGATGGTACATCACACTTATTTCATACACTTCGACTAATAGTTTGTTTAACATTCATTCCAGACTATCATAAAATGCGAACACGATTACAGTTCTGTTGAAAATATAAAGAGAAAGACCTGACTGTAAGTGTTTGGATCACATCTTGTGAGTTAGCTGATTGAATGCGGCCCCACAAACTCACTTTGTATGATATGTGGTGAGATTGAGATAATCACATTTATCTTGAACTTGTTTGCTTAGGACTATCCCACCAATTGTATAATTAAACTCGTCGCATAATTGGAAGTCAACGAAATTTCCAACGTTTGCATATCTACAATCGTAGCATGAAATATTGAGCGGAATGCTCCCACGTACGTTTATTATTAAACTGAATTGTGATTTCTTTATATATAGATAAGTTACAAGTTTACCACGGATCACAATGAATCCTAATAAAAACAACATCACGATTTATTTTTGATGGATTGTTAAGTGCAGTTCAAATATGTGTTAATTTGATGTCGCGAACTATTTAATAATATCTGTATTTATTTGAGATTGAGCTAGCGACTTTGTTAGAATGTAGGAACTATCTGTCTACACAATACACACTGTAGTGATCATGGATTCACCATCATTCACCATTCCATTAACTAAATTGTATAATTTGGTTAAACTGATTGCCACCATAATACATAGAAAGAAGACATCAAATGTTTAACATTTCGATGCTTTTCCACATATTGTGTAAACGACACTGTCAATAGAGATTAGAGAAGCTGATGACAATTTGCACAATTATTTCAACGAAATAGCTAGCAAACTGATGTTATTTTTCATGTTAAGTGCTATTTATATGATTCAATTTCATTGAGATTTGTATATTAATCCATTACGCCATGCAATAATTTTTCACACGGTCACTGTATGTAATCAGCTAAACTCTGTATTCCACACTCAACAACAACTATGAATCTGATCGTTTTCAAATGTTCTGTATCCATTAAGTGTTTGATTAGCATTTCGAAATGAACATCTAAACCATCGATTCACGCTGACGTTCAATTTTTCAGTAATAAAAACATGATATTATACAATGAAAAATTAAATCGATGACATCATATGAGTAAGCTGATTGAATCAACTTTAGATAATCATCTGAAAACGAGATCGCACGCACTCACTTCATGAGATTGATGATAAGCATGAACCAATGATTCGATTTGTGCCTACTCAAACTATCACAATGTTGAACTGTGAAAATACAACTTGTATAACCCGACACACTGTGTCAATGCACAGCATACAAGTTGGGCGACAATCAGCAGTATATCAAGGGGATATTTTGTGTGCATGATATGGATGTAGGTTACAGACTAAATTGAGTTCATCATTCACGCAAAAAGAGAACGCGTTTGCTGCCGTTTTCTTTAATGATATGACACTTCTTGTGTGTGCTTCAACGATCTCAACGTTGGTGGTACATTTGACTGACATATGTTGTGGAAAGCGTCTCATCCTCAGAATTCTGATCCAATATCCAGCAGTGCACATGGTAACCCTTAGTCAGGTCTCTAATAATAGGACAATTAATGATAAAATTGATCAATGTGGATAAACCTCATGGTTTGGTTTGTACAATCTATCATCGGTTTCCCTGATCTCTATTAATAGTTCCGTTTACATAATATGTTAAAATAAACCAGGATGTTGGACAAATGATGTCTTACTTCAATGTCTTATAGTATTAATCATTTTAGGCGAAATACACAGTTTAACTGATGAAAATCACCAAATAAATCAAGTATCGGTGAATGAAGCAATTTGAAACTGAAGCCAGTTTTCCGGCTGATTGTTTCCATTATGACGATAAACAGTAATAGGTATGAAGATAAATCAACCAGACTAGTTGTTAATGTGAGTGTCTTTTATTTCTTCACAGACTGATGAGCGGTGTTTATATCAGTGCGTCCATGATTCATCTGTGAATGCAACACATTAATGTATGTGCACGATAGAATACCTAATTTCGGTAAGTGATGGTGAATTCATGATCACGACAGTGTCAATTTATAGATGTGAGAAGTAATAGCTCCTGCATTACACCACAGTCACTGGCACCAAACCAGAAAACATCAGAATATATAACTGTCGGAGTTCAGTTTTCGGGATGCGAAAATGTCGTTAATGAAGAGGCTATGAATTTTGTTCATTCTTGAAACTCCT